CCCTCTACCGGAGATTTATTGGTCTTAAAGCTCCCTAAACTCTCTTCCATCCCATTACGACGTTCGTTTTATCAGCCTATTACCACAAACGCATTTCGCCATTGGGCCTTGTGCGTGTCTCCAGGACATATTTCTTGATAAACTAGCTAGACATGGCAACCAAGTGCTCATCCACAACAGTCAGAACAAAATCACCCCAACTATCACACCAGCTGTGATATTCACTCCCATAACACTGTGGTTTACTAGGCTTTGGTTGTCCTATGTGCCAGAATGCAAAGCTATTTTGGCTCAACAAATATTTTTCTGTCCTATATTTATGTCGTATATGCATAATTATTTTTATTCGCATTTGCATTGGTATATATATATCCATATTCAATATGTCTGTCAACCTATTTCTATCTTTAAACTTTTCGTCGCCCAACTTTGTAAAGTGGCAACGCCAACCTGACCTCTCTTAGGATTTTCTGCCTGAAGACAGTTGTCAGTGCCTCTTCCATTAAGTCTGTGCTCAAAAACTCTGATTGGAGTCTTCTCTTCGTCAAAGTTCAGGCCACCTCGAGAGCTTCACCGACTTTAGTGCTCAGAAGCTTCTGCCCATGACTCCTTCATATACCCATACGCCCGCACATACACACACACACACATACAAATATGCACACAAACTCACTTTATGCACTCCAAGGAATTCGCATTGTTCCCGACTTGTTAACTCCTTTTCGTCTCAGCATTGCATGGTCGTCGTTGCTCCATTCAACTTAAACTGTCGGGCAAGATTTCCCAGTCTATTTAGTTGTGCCTGCGGAGGCTTTTGTATAATCCTCAAAAGCCTCCAATTGCCACAGAACAATAAGCAAGTTGTGAATCGGGCTAGCAACTTGTTTAATTACAAGTCTCAAATTGTTTCAGTGCCGAACCCCTTATTCGAAACTCTTATTTGGCGGCCTAACTGGTTACCATGAGAAGCAACCAAAGTCTCCTGACATGTGAAATTCGATAGAATCTTAAGGCATTTCATTTTTTAATAGTGGCAAATTTAACTAACCCTCCATCTTTTTTATTAGATGACCAAAGTGTTCACCCAAGTACTGGATCAGAATCTACTTATATCCTTGAAACCTACGCATTCCCATCGTTCAACCATTTCATCACATGTCTATTAATATATATCTAGACAAACATATATTTACTTATTTACTTTTGTTTATATTTATCATGTCAGGAATAGAACACTTTGGCCCAATTAAATAAAGTTTAATTTAAGGAGTTAAAAAGGCAACAAAAGAGGAAATGTCCTTTAATAAAAAGAAATTATGTATGCATTTATGCACAAAGTCTCTTAAGCAAGTTGGGTATTATTTAGACTTTCATTCTCCCACAAAATCCTTCTCCAAATGTGCTTTTCAATTTAATTTCCTGCCTAAATTTCATTCGGAATAACGGACAAGCTAGAAAATGGAATCACTGACAGACTACCCCATCAATGTCTGGGTCCTTACCTCAACGCCTCTACTTCCTTGGCGTCATGCTTATCCTTCTTGTAGTTTATTTTGTTGGTGCATCAAGCTTGCGATTGCAGATTTCAGCAGCCCATTTATCCTCCCAGGACGACGATGACTTTTGTTCACCGGTCGACTTTTTCTATGATTCAATAGGGAAATGGTCTCAAACATGGACGAATTATCCTGTTTTATCATGGCAAGGATCAAAATTTTTACAGATTCCTATCTGATAAACTTTTTTGAATAAAGAAATTTGCCCCAAGTAAAACCTTTAAACTGTCTGAATCTGTTCCTGCAAAGTAGTATTCACATGGTCCGGAAATGCCCCAATTAAAAGGCATAATATCCCAAATAAAAGAAGAACCTTATGGTTATTTTTTTATTTGGCTTTGAGCTATAATATTTTTCCCCAATTAGCCGGAACTCACTGCATATATATATATATATATTTATGTATATATAGTCGTCATTATTTATCCAGCTAAAATCGAGAATTTGCTTGATTAAATTGTCTTAATTTGATTATAAATTAGACTGTATTAGGATATTGCCTAGTCACGAAGTTTCTTTTGGTATAGGCCAAGCAGCCCTGTAATCAGCCGGCTACTTCTCGGGCCGTTTAGCCAACTCCGGCATAATTTTCCAAAAAGGAGCTCAAATTTCGGCGGTGTTGCAAATCAGGTATATGTATAGAAATAAATAAATAAATAAATAAATATACATATATACATACATACATATATATATATACATATACTATAGCGCGACTTTGTCGGTACGAAGCTGAAATCCTTTTTCATCGGTTGTGCCGGGGTTGGCTTCACAGTATTGTGAAGGAACCAGTTGAGTACATGATTGCTTTGAGTCTATAAAATTAAGCATCTCGAAAGCGTAATATCCTAATCCATTTCTATTTATAATTAATTTAAATAGATGTAATCAAATAATTTTCGCTTTTTAGTTAAATACCTATTGATAACTTAGTATGATTAAAGCTGCATCCCTAATGGGTACGGCACAAATTTAATTATTTGCCCTAGTTTCGGCTTCTTAATGATTAAACATTGAAATATAAGATGTCAATTACCTCAAGCGATGGGTCCGATGATCTGTCCATCTTTCTCTATGGCTCTAGAATGCCTCGAAATGTATGATCCACAGCAGAAGCAATTTTAAGATAAAACGGCATTGGATGACAATAAAAATAGACAAATTCAAGTCCAATGCTGGCTAAGGCAAAAACGAGCCCATGTGAAATTCAAAGCAAGCCAAAGCACTCTCAAATCACAATTATATGGAGACCTTCCTATAGGACAAGTATATATTTCTTATAAAAATAGACAATATTACTTATTTTCGATATAAGTAGGTGATCTGCAAGTTTTATCCTAAAATTCTGGCTAACATGTCCCAGACTTGGAGACCAACGAATGTGTAGATCCAGCCCAGACGACCCTGAAAGCCCACTTTCCTTTAGAGGGACAGCCTCTCTTGAGATACAAACTGGACCAGACTTGATTGAGCTTGTCGAGCATACATTTCGCTTCCTCGTTGATGCACCGAGCCTCTGCCTCTGCACCACTCAGCGAATGACTTTAACAGATTCCGCGATAAGTTCAGTATCGAATTAGCATTGACCACTATCACGTCCCGGACCGTTCGGCCTTCAAGGGTCAACAGGGTACCTGCTGGTGGAAGAGTTCTTTGGGCATTTTGCCTGTCTTGCCCACATCGTGGGCTATGGTTGAGCTCACGCCACTTTCGAGTGAAACTGCCTAATGACGGGCTTCGAAGTTCGAGTCGATCTGACGACTTCGGCGCATTTCTCTTGACGCATCACAAACACTCCGACTAATGCTATCTGCGGAACAATCTTCGACGAATCCCGTGAAAACATGAGCAACTCATATGATTACCTCGGGGACAGCGTGGAACAGAAAGCTTCGGTATAATGCTAATCGAAATCTGACCAAGAGACCTCGTCTTTGGACGGGATCAACGTTTGAATCTCATCTTGACATACACACAAGCACACACACATACGTACATAAACACAAACACTCACACTTGAAAGGGTAATGAGCCGGCCAAGTGGGAAGCAAGAGACTATTCGAAGCCCAAAGTTGTCTTATTTAGCCACCGTCTCAATCAAGAGTTGCCTTAAACCCGACTAACAGGACACATGAGCTTTCGCCCTGGGCATAATCACCACACCCTGGCGCAAGCTCGAATGGAGTCGCCTGACTTTGTCGGTCGTGATCGAAGTGGTAACCTGCCCAAAAATCAAATTTTGCCTACTTTTTAGGGAACAAATTAATTTATGAACTTCTGGTCAAAAATGCGTACATTTCTGCTTTTCTGCCAGCCTAGTGGCAGGAAATAATGCGGAGTGGGCAAACACGGATTGCCGAACTTCTCATACGTGGTCGTCTCGCGATGTTTTCCCTACGCTTGATGCCAGTTTTCGTCCCCACACTATAAAAGTGCAACACATGCATTTAGTTCGGAAATCTCTGGGGCGGAAATGCATTTCGAAACTCCACCCCAGCCCATTTACAGGCAAAAGATGGACCGAGACCGATTCCAGTTCGTATGTCGATTTGCACAAAATTTCACTTGTCCTTACAATTTCGACGAATTATCTCAAAACCATAGTTAAGTAGTCCCGTAAATTTCCTACTTCAATGGCTACTTCGTCTTGCCTTCACGCCTCACACTATATTGTCCTTCTATATTTGCCTAAAGTGACTTCCAATTTGACCTGGGGCTCAAAAAAATAAGACGATTGAGTCCTGCCAAGCTCAGTTGAACTAAGCCTCGAGCTTCTGCCAAATTCGTTGCCGCAAACGAGTCATATTGACCTGGAGACCACGCAAACCACCTCTGACGCGGAATCTGCTGCAGGGGTCGAGTACAAACGAGCAGAGGAGCGTCTTGTAGCATCTTCGACATCTGCAGCAAGACTTGCGTCGCCATCAGTTCTTGCAAGCTCTGTACAAAATAGAAAAGGTTATGCGATGTACCAATTTGATCATCTAGTTCAAAGTCTTGCATCTAAGTAGCATCTGAAAAGTACATCAGCTTTCTTAAAAAGGGTTTAGACCATTTTCACTAAAATCTTCATCATTAGGAAATTAAATTAATTATTCTGTGCGGCGCAATGACCTTGGTTAAATTAGATAAATCAACATTCATGTACAAAATAGAAAAGGTTATGCGATGTACCAATGTGATCACCTAGTTCGTACTCTTACGTCTAAGTAGCATCAGAAAAGTACTCCCGCTTTCTTAAAAAGGGTTTAGACCATTTTCACTAAAATCTTCATCATTAGGAAATTAAATTAATTATGCTGTGCGGCGCAATGACCGTGGTTAAATTAGATAAATCAACATTCATGTACAAAATATAAAAGGTTATGCGATGTACTAATGTGATCATCTAGATAAATCAACATTCCTAGAAACGATGACATTCCACGCACGCACGTGCATCCATGCATCCACACATAAATACATCCACCCATCCATACATACATACATGCATACACAAATATGAGATGTATTCACTCTATATCATTTAAGATGATTAAGGCACTGACAATTGAATTCTCCCAGATTCATATGAGTTGACTTTATGTTTGCATTGAATGTAAAATAAATGTACTTTCCGACAGGTACTCTCAGCCCGGCTGGACTAGACTGCAATTTCGACCTCGACCAGATCTTATCAGCACTCCCAGCGGGACTCAAACCATGACAGTACAGCATATGCTCTCGACACTTTAATCACTACGCTACATTGCTACGAATGTGTTTGAGTCACAGAACAAAAGTGAATTTCAAGGAAGGCCAGACATTCTTTCAATATCCCATTCTATGGTGGAATTATGGATAAAGCAAAATTGTATTTGTCATAGCAATCGAATACATTACTTATGCTAATGCCTTTTTAGAAGCAAGGATACGTGAAACCCAATGGAAACGCAAGGTCTACTCATATCGTTGTGGGGAAATTCAACTGTCAGTACCCTTATCACCTTGAACGAAATAGGCTGAATTCACCTTATATATATATGATATACTAGTAGTCTCGAAGACCTGCTAAAAAAGCGAA